CCCAGGCCGTCTGCCAGGCGGAAACGGCCCCGGTACCACCCCCCGCTGAGTGTGTTCGGAGGACAAAAACACGTTCAGGAGACGTTTGGGTGAACACCTGAACGTGTTCGTTCACGCATTCGTGAAGGCCGGGAACACGTTCGGTGTGCTACGCAGGGGGGCGGGTTTCATGGAGGGACAGTCACTTTTTTTTTTACTTTTTTTTTTTTGACGCTCACTTTTGGGACCAAGCTGGGCAGGCAATGATAGTGGACTCTATTTCAGTACTTCCAAGAACTGTTTTCGTTTTTGTTTTTTCGTTTTTTAAACTTTTTTGAAGTTTTTTCTAATTTTGTGGACCATTTGGTCCATTCTCGATGTAGGGGCCATGCCATATATACCGCCAACATATGGCTTACTTGATCAGCATCGCCATAGCCAGCCTATGGGCCTGCTCCACTACACAACGCTCTACATGCATTTGGACTCTCATTCGACCGGGTGCACTTGAACGAGTTCAACATTTTGAATGTATCAGGTCCAGAAAGCGTCCAAATGCGTGCAGAGTGTTGTCTAGTGGAGCGATCCCTTTTGCCCGACGTGTCTATATTTCGTCATGTCTTTGGGTGCACCACTCCATCTGTGATCCCAGCCTTTCGTCGGACTGACTTTTTGGCTCGACGGTCGATGGGCGACGGGCCATGGGACCTCTCACTCTCTGTGGGGTTCTGCTTCTGCTGTGAGTAGGTGATGGATTGTTTCATCCGTGCTTGGTTTGGTTTGTTGACTGACTTGTACAAATTATCGACTGCTTGGTTTGGTTGCGATGTCGATAATTCGTCATGTCTTCTCCACTTCCATCAACTTGAAGTTGCTTCCCACCCTCTTGCCATCTCTTTTCGGTTCGGCTTGCCAACGATGTACAAGTTTGGTCGGGATGTCGATGGGGCTTTAACTGCCATTTCGTCAAAATGGACATCTTTTATTTTTTGAAGGAAATTGAAACCGAGTTTTTTGGCCAAAACCTCGTCAAAATTTGCTGTTCCTGAGGGTCCGGCATTTGTAAAACGCTGGACCCACTGGCTGTACATGGACCTAGCTTGAGACCACTGCAGGGAGGACTGCCTGGAGGTACCTGGTCTTAAGCTAGGTCCATGTACAGCCAGGGGGTCCAGCGTTTTACAAACTCCGGACCCTCAGGAACAGCAAATTTTGAGGAGTTTTTGGCCAAAAAACTCGGTTTCAATTTCGTTCAAAAAATAAAAGATGTCCATTGTGACGAAATGGTCGTTCTTTGTGCCGCGCTGTGTTGAGGCCTTGATGCCCATCTGTGTACCTTGCCTTTCGGTGCACTTTGTTTGCGAGCGATGTAGTCTGGCGGCTTTTTCAGCACTGGCTTGTCCGTCGTGGTGTTGTTGCCGTGCTGCCCGCCTGCTTGCATGATTGTCGTTGCATGAAGTGTGCTTGTTGTGCATCGTGTAGTCTGGCTGCGTTGTTGGCGCTACTTTTTGCTTCATTGTGTTGTTGCCTTGCTGCCCGCCTGCTTCCATTGTCGTTGCATGCAGTGTGCTTGTTGTGTAGTCTGGCTGCTTTGTTGGCGCTAGCTTTTGCTTGATTGTGTTGTTGCCTTGCTGCCCGCCTGCTTGCATTTGTCGCTGCACTCAGTGTGTTTGTTGAGCTTGTGTTTGCCTTGTAGTTGGGCTGCGTATCCAGCTCTGCTTTGTCCTTCGCCGTGACGTTGCTTTTCTGCTTGGGCTGTCGTCTGTCCATTTCCAACCGTGGTGAAAAGACTCCATGCCTCCAAGCATTAATATGGGGATTCCGCAGATTGTCACGAGGGTTCAGCCTTGTGACGAGTAGGTGCGAGTCCAAAAAAGCAATCTATCATCATGAGTTTTTATTTTATTTTAGAAAAAACAACGGCGGACGCAGCAGGTTTCGAGTTTGTAAAGGCAAAAAAAAAAAAAACACGCTGGCAAAGAAATCAGGCGCCGACTTAGAAACGGCAATTTCGGTCGAAAAGTATGCATTGGGCTTTAAAAAAAAAAAATTCTTTCTTTTTTTTTTTTTTTTTTCGCCCCCCCCCCTTTTCCTCCTCATCTGACACCACGGCGGACCCCTGTAAATATGACACCCGGCCGGACCCCACGGCCGCAGTACTCTCATTCAAGTTGCCGTTTCCAACTCGCGCCTGGTTTCTTTGCCCGGGCATGTTGTTTTGGCCCACTTTGAAACTGTGATGTGACATGAGCATACTTCCCTCTTTATTCTATTTTTCTTCGCTCTTTGACTTTTTTGACACTTCTTTTTTTTTTTTTTTTTTTTTTTTTTTTTTTTTTTTTTTTTTTTTTTTTTTTTTTTTGACACTTCTACTTTCTTCTTTGTTGCCTTGTTG